CCCGAGCTGTTGTCTTCCCAACCCCGCATCAGCCTTGCCCCCTGGCACGGGGCTTGTTGGCGCCTCTGCCGCCGGCCGCCGCCCGGCACTGCCCTTCACAGGGTCTGGGTCTGGGTCCGCCGCAGTGGCGGTGTCCAGTCCTGGCTGGCCGAGCTACAGTGCCCACTGCGTGCCTCCTTCACGCGTGGGTGATAACCTGCTGCACGGAGAGTGCAGGTCACGGTTTTTCGCCAGGCAGGCTCCCAAGCTGGCCGGCAGCCTGGACTAGGCCTGGACCCGCCTGCCCTGGTCCGGTCCAGCCCAGTGTCCGGTCTGCCTCCTGCTGCCCCCGCCTTGCTCTCCGCCGCGTCTCCACGTGGCCTGTGCCCATGCTGTGTTCTGTCCTGTCTTGCCCTTGGTTTGTTTGCGAGTCTTTCTCAGCCCCTCAGGAAGCCCATCTGGAGTGGACTTGGCTCAGGCGCCCCGCGGGAGGGCGAATCCTGGTGGGCAGGCCTGGGACGGCAGGGGTGTGGGTGGCGTTGGAGGGGGAGAGGGGCCCCAGGTTGCTGCTGGCACCGTGCCCAGGTGGCCTTGTGTCCCTCCAGGCCAGACTGTCCAGGCAGGGGTGAGGGGCTCATGTACAGAGGTGCCAGCTGCAGCGCCTGGACCCCTGGGGTCCCCACAGCTTTTGTGGGGCCACTGCCCTGTGACCTGGGTTTCCTTTGGGGGGGGGCTGGAGTCAGGGCTGTCTCCCACCGGCCCTGGGTGGGACCGCCGGGCCCTCAGGCTAGCGGAGACACCTGGGGAGGGCCAGACTGCCACTGCCTGCCCCCTGGACTGGTGGCTGCGTGGGCACAGGTCTGGGCAGTGCTCCCCACAGGTGCTGGCGTGCTGGGAGGCCCCCGCACGGCTCCAGCGGGGAGCCCTGCCAGCACACCACAGCTTGGATGGCCTGGACACTGGCCTCTCCCTGCTGGACGCCACACGAGAAGAAGTCGCCTGAACGTCAGGTGAAGCCCACAGGGCCGGGCCCCTGCCTGCCCCTTGGGCTTCCCGGGCGGAACCCAGCCCTCATCTCCTGCTGCAAGTGCTGGCCCTCACGTCCAGATGCCGGCAGGAAGGCCTGCAGGCCCGAGCACTCAGGGCCAGCCCGGGGCCGGTGCTGGAAGAGCAGGAGTGTCATGGGCGGCCGGCACACACCCAGGGTCATGTACCGTGGCCCCCGCTGTGAGCTGTCAGCCAGGCCTCTAGGGGGGCAGGCTCCTGGCCTCCTCCGGAGCTTGGCTCAGGTTTGCAGAGTTGCCAAAGCCTGGTCTCTCCCCGAGAGCCCCTGACACCCACAGAGCCCCACTGTCCACCAACACCCCAGGTCCATCACCAGCCCCTGATGACCTGTGGTCACTGAGCGGGCACACTGTTTTCCAGTTTGCGGAGGTCGCTCAGCCTCGAGCTGCCCTGGGCTCTCACTGGCTTAGGCATGTGTCCAGACCCTGCCCCAGAGGCGGCTGCAGCCCCAGGGGAGGGCCTGGCTGGCCACGGACCCGCCTCGAGGCCAGTGCTACTCCATGCTGTCACCCTGACCCTCTTCTGGCTGTGGCAGCACGAGAGCTGGGCCACTCACTGCAAGCCACGGCCTCCTGGGGGCCCGGCCACCTGCGGGACCTGCCCCCACTTGTCCTGGCCCCTGCGGACGCGGGTGCAGGCCGGGCCGTGGCTGCCCCCGTGGGGTACACAGCTGGCTCCCCAGGGCAGGGCCATGGCCCTGGAGGAGGCTTCCTTCCCGAGCCCTGGCCAGCACCCCCTTTCTTCCCGCTGCGAGGCAGTGTGAGGCAGCAACTCCCCTGGGAGTCCCCGCCCACGCAGAGGAGAGGTCCGGAAACTGTCCAGGGCCAGTCTGTTCCAGAAGGGCTGGAGCGACTCCCAGCTGCCAGGCTGGGGCGCGGCTCCAGGGTGCAGTGCCCCCGCCCACGGGCCCCCCGCAG